AGATGCAGGCAAAACGTCAGGAGAAAATGCCTCTAGAACATGGCCCTATAGCCCGAAAAAACCCCACAAGAACCTAAAAATACCTGGTTAATTTTAAATATTTCTGACACTCTTCTGCGCAGCTGAAGGCAGTTACTAGGGACGGGGCTTGGCCAGTGTGACCCCACTTTCCCAACCCAGTGTGGAGAGCACTTGCTGTGACTCTTGCTCCTTGAAATCAGCATCTGCAAGAGGAGAACTACTTGTGCAACGAGCGTGCTTCAGCTCTGCACCAAGGGGCTTTTGCTGTGGTGTGTATGTGTGTTCGAAAATGGTGTAGCCGCAAAGCCTGAGCTCCATTCTGCTTCCACCCCCACAGTCCCGGCCATGATCACCTCACACCCCAACACCACCATTGCCATCAAGGGCCAGGGCAAGGAGCTGAACTGCACGGCCCGCGGAGAGCGGCCCATCATCATCCGCTGGGAGAAGGGGGACACCGTCATCGACCCCGACCGCAACATCCGCTATGCCATCAGCACCAAGGACAACGGCGATGAGGTCATCTCCACCCTCAAAGTGAGCAGAACCCCATGATATTGGGGGGTGGGTGGGTTGGGTTTGCCCTGGTCCACACCTGGGGATAGGCTTGGCTACACCCTTGAGATGTCCAGTTTTCCTTCTGCCAGTCCTATGTGCACGCTTATGCGTATGTATATATGTATGCACTAACTTTGAAGTGCCTCTTCTCCCACAGCTCAAGCCGGCCGATCGTGGGGACTCTGTGTTCTTCTCCTGCCATGCCATCAACTCTTACGGAGAAGACAGGGGCCTCATCCAGCTCACGGTCCAAGGTACTGCGTCCCCTCCAAAGCCTTTCCAAAGAGGGAGGTCGGGGTTTGGGAATGGGACTCTCAACTACATCTCCCCAAAGGAAGTTGTTGTGTTGGTTCGATCGTGAGATGCTTTGAGTCTCCTTTTTTGAGAGAGAAAGCAGGATACAAACAATAATAACAACAACAACAACCCCCTGCTTCAATGGGAAGGCTGAAAGGAACACCCCCCACCCCCATTCTGATTCCTACTGTTAAAAGGGTTTCCTCCTCTGCAATCTCAATGTAAAAGAAGCCTTCCCTTTCTGCATCAGTCCTATTAGGGACTGCCAATACTTTGCGGGCAGAGGAGGAGCTGTCCTGGCTTTGTCCTTTGGCCATGGCTCCGCACTTGTAACCCTTCCCTGGGCGAAGATGTCCTTAGGTGTTGTTGTAGGATTTTTCGGGCATCTATGGCAAGCATCCTCAGAGGTAGTGAGGATGCTTGCCATAGATGCAGGCGAAACGTCAGGAGGGAATGCCTCTAGAACATGGCCATATAGCCCGGAAAAATCCTACAACAACATGGTGATTCCGGCCATGAAAGCCCTTGACAATATGATGTCCGTATGACTTGAAGCTTGGCTTCTCCCTTTTAGAGCCCCCGGACCCGCCGGAACTGGAGATCCGAGAGGTGAAGGCGCGCAGCATGAACCTGCGCTGGACTCAGCGGTTCGATGGCAACAGCATCATCACCGGCTTTGATATCGAGTACAAGAACAAGTCTGGTGAGGGGCTCTGCTGAGGAGGGGACTCAGGAAGGAGGACTTTGCCTCTCTCTCTCTCTCTCTCCAAAGTCCTGCTCTTTCCATATTGGGGCCAAAGGGGATTTGGGCGGATTGATGGCAGTGGCGCAGGGTGGAATAGGAAGTGCTTTGAACAGTCTTCCAACAAAGAGATGGTTGCATATAGTAAATCTCCCAGTTGCCTATCAATTGCAAGGCAGATCAGGTTTCCCACTCTGGGAAAGGTCGGAATTCAACCCCACACTGCCCAAGTCTCCAGTCCTCAATGAGGAACAGCTTAGTATAGACTAAGGGTTTTCCTTCCCCCATGTCTTCTGAATGACAGTTGGGAATGCATCTTTTTCTTTTCTGTTTCTGTTCTCATTCTGATTGGTTGCTTAAAATGGATATTTTTCTACTAGGCCTGGGTAACAACGGAAACATTTGTTTCTAAAATCGATTCATTTTTTGGGGGGTTTTGCGTTTTGTTATTTAAAATAATTACAAAATTTTCCTTTTAAAAAGTTTGATATTTACAAAATTTCATAAATGTGAAAAAAATTACAAAACATTAACGAATCGATTTCCGAAACAATAACGAATCGATTCGTTAATGGCGGACGCGACCGCGAAATACGCTAAAAAACCTCCAAAAACTTCTGAAGCTTCCCTCTCCCTCTGTTGTTGACTGTTGGTGTGATATTATAATTTTTTTTTCACTAATTAAACAAAAAACTTGCCCCAGACATGCGGAAATAATAACGAAACGACCTCAGAACAATAACGAAACGAATACAATAACGAAATACGAAGCATTTACAAAACGTGTTTAAAAATTCGTTTTTTTAAAAAATTGCTCCAGAATGGTTCGTTATCGTTTTGTAATTAAAAAAATTAACGAATTATTAACGAATTACGAATTAACGAAACGAAACCGCCCAGCCCTATTTTCTACTACTGCAAGCCATTTTTGAATCTGACTTATTTAATTATTATTTATTGAAGAACATTTATACCCCGTCCTTCTCAACCTCCAAAGAGGGACTCAGGACGGCTTCTTAGTTCTGCCTTCTGACACTTTAGAATGGAGAGTATGTGCTGTGTGCTTTGAGATCTCTCTCTGCTTGTGTGTCAGGAAAGAGGAGTTTTTCCCCTCTCTTTGAAACCTTAGAAGAGATGGGTGTCGGAGTAGCTCAGGCCCAGTTCTTTACCATCAAGAAATGTAGTTAGTCCTTTATTAAATAAACCTTTTGTGATTTTTAAGATTTGACTTTCCATGTTTGCCTCCTAAGCTCTGAATTCTTTACATCCGCACTTCATGCTCTGCTCGCTAATGAGCTCACGTACAACTTTTGTATCCTGTTTGTGTTTGGATGCTCTGCTGTATATTTTAGTTCACATCCAAGTTTTGTATCCTGTTTGTTTTTGGATGCTCTGCTGTATATTTTAGTTCACATTCAACTTTTGTATCCTGTTTGTTTTTGGATGCTCTGCTGTATATTTTAGCTCACATTCAACTTTTGTATCCTGTTTGTTTTTGGATGCTCTGCTGTATATTTTAGCTCACATCCAAGTTTTTTATCCCGTTTGTTTTCGGATGCTCTGCTGTATATTTTAGCTCACGTTCAACTTTTGTATCCTGTTTGTTTTTGGATGCTCTGCTGTATATTTTTAGGGCAGTTTTCCCTAACAGGAAACACTCTGTGAAGCCCTTCTGTGGTTGTGCTGTGGGTCTGTGAGCAAGTGATGTCCCTCCCGATCAATGGCTTCTCTTCCCACTTCCTGCAGATTCCTGGGATTTCAAGCAGTCAACCCGAAACATCTCCCCGACCATCAACCAGGCCAACATTGTCGACCTCCATCCTGCCTCAGTGTACAGCATCCGCATGTATTCCTTCAACAAGATTGGCCGTAGCGAGCCCAGCAAGGAGCTGACCATCAGCACCGAGGAAGCAGGTACCTTGTCCCCATTCCTCCCAACCACATTTGCTTTCAGTGCCTGATTTTGGAGGCATTCTTTGCAGGAGAGAGCTACCCAGCAGGAACTTTGGTGACCACTCCTTCCCACTTCTCCCCCTACATCATCCCCATGTTCTTTGGGCTGGCCGTGACTTGGCCACCTCCCTCTCTGTCTCCATGCAGCTCCTGACGGACCCCCCATGGATGTCACCTTGCAGCCCATGACGTCCCAGAGCATCCAGGTCACCTGGAAGGTACGCACGTGCCTCCACGTGTGTCTGTGTGTATATCTCAGTGCTGGAGAGGACGACTGGGGCACTGGATGGGTTGACGTGACGGATTCATGTGATTCCTTTGGTTGTATTACAACCAAGCCTATTAAATTGCACAGCGCGGACATTAAGGCTACAGTTAAGTGGCAATTAAATGGAACCGTAATAGCCAGCCCCGCTCCCCTGACATAAATGCAACGACAATAGGTTATTCAGTTTGTTGATGGTTAACCCAGCTCATTACAGTTTTGTCCCACATACTTTCCTGATGACGGGACTCTCTTTCTGGAAGTCTGGAAGTCTGGAAGTCGGAATGAAATGGCTGGTTGGTGGAGTTAAGACAGCCATGGGCAAACTTCCGTCCTCCCTCCAGGTGTTTTGGACTTCAACTCCCACCATTCCTAATAGCCTCAGACCCTTTCCTCCTCCCCCCCCCCCCTGCCACTTAAGCACACACAGACCAATGTTAACTCTTCCTTAGGAGGCTTTTCTTTGTAGTAAAAGAATACGGTTGCACTATTTACAAGAACTTCTTTTCCATAACACAAATAAACAAATACATAGTAGCTTTGCACACAGCAGCTTTCACACTGGAGCTTTCTCACACGAGGCTTCTCTCACACAGAGGCTTACCTCACACTCCTCAGGATAATACTTGCTATGGCTCACTAACTAACAGGCTTCAGCCTACTCAATCTCCTCAGGATGACACTAGCTTCGGCCCACTGACTCTATTCACTCTCCTAGTGCTTGACTCCCATTTTTGAGTAAAATAATAGAAATGTAATAATAACAGTAATAATAGAGTAAAATA